AGCTCGTAACTCAAATGCATCCTAGACCTAAAGGTGAACCCTAAAACTATAATAAACCTTCCAGAAGAAAACCCCAGGGAAAACCTTTCTGGCCTTTAGCTGGGCAGCAGCTTTCTTTAACGAGATATAAAATGTATAAGCCTTAAAAGGAAAAAAGAGGATGAATTGGATTTCAAAGATTTTAAACTAGTTACTTTCAAAAGACTATGTTAAGAAAAAGAAAAGAGAAACCAGCGGGGACCATCTCCGATAAAAGGCCTAGATCCCTAAAGAACTCTCAAGATTCTCTAATTAAATAAGAAAGCAACCCAACCTTAGAAAGGAGCCAAAAGTTTCAACAGACACGTCACAGGGCAGATCCAGCGAGGGTGGGTGGGATAAGGAGGTTTCCCTGAGAGGGAGGGGAGGGCAGGTACCTCCACGAGCTGCCACTGCATATCCGTTACATTATGTATGTTACTACGGTTCCCACGCATAGCGAACCTGTGTATAGGGTTTCCTAGGAGTGGCTGGGGGAGTTTGAACCACCGACCTTATGGTTCAAACCAACCTTGCGGTCCAGCACATTAGCCCACAGCAGCACACCAGGGTCCCATTAAAACAACTGAAGTTTCAGACCAAGTGCCGACGGAAGAGTGTAGCCCTCAAACCTTGTACATCACTGACTGCTATCGTGAAGTATCACTAAGACCATTCTAACTCCTAGGGACCCTATATAGGGTTTCCAAGGAATGGCTGGTGGGTTTGAACCACCAACCTTGCAGTTAGCAGTCTAGTGTTCATTCTACAGTGCCATGCCAGGACCACATCACTGGTGTGGGTGCAAAATGTTACTAACATTCTGAGAAAACTTAGTTCTCAAACTGACATCTTTGCTCTTGAACACTTTAAAGAGGTTTGGTGCAGCAGATTTTCCTAATGCAATACGTCGTTTGAATTCTTAAGTATAGTTTCCATGAGTATTGATAATAGATCCAAGTAAAATGAAGTCTTTGGCAACTTCAGTCTTTTCTCCATTTATTACGATGCTATTTATTGATCCAGTGGTGAGGATTTTTGTTTTCTTTACATTAAGGTGCAACCCATACAGAAGGCTGTGCTCTTTGATTCTTCATCATTAAGTATCTTAAGTCCTCTTCGCTTTCAGCAAGCAAGGTTGTCATCGGCATATCTCAGGTGGTTAATGAGTCTTGCTCCAATCTTGATGCCACATTCTTCATATCATTTAGCTTCTCAGATGATTTGCTCAGAGAGCAGATTGGAAGATGAAAAATGCCAAACTTTTTTATCCCCTGGTGTTAATGTGTTATTCAGGCAAACGGGCCAGTCTGTGAGGGCTAGCCTGTTGGGTGGAAGTGTACACTGTGAACTCTGGTATAGATGACAGGGCTTTTACATACAGCAAGGGGCTGTGGAGCCTTACATGTCGTATGCTGCGCACACAAAGGTTAAGCACTCAGCCGCTGATGGAAAGACTGGGGATTCAAGTCCTCCCAAGCACCTGACAAGAATAGCCTGGCAGCCTGCTTTGAAAACACCAGCACCGGAGACCCGGTGAGCACATCTCTGCTCCGGCACACACGCGTTCTACTCCACAGCAGCTGGCTTAGAATCTGCATGCTGCAATCATTGAAGCAACGTCAGCACCTTGGTTGTGTCAAACACCCATATGCATGTGGGCACCAGCTGTTCATGGAGGGACGACGTTAGCGTTTCTTTGGGGGATTGAGGTTTTAGGAATTAGTGGTTAGATGCTGGAAAAAACCCAGCGCATCAGGGTTAAAAGCCAGGGTAGAGCCAAGTTTGCTCTCCTTTCCTGGGATTGAAGATGCTTTGTGTGGTGGGAGGTTGAGCAGCCTTGAGGCGTACTTAACCATTAACATCTACACTCACCAGCCTTCCCAAAGACCTGCTCCCATGGAGCCGTGCTGTGATTTCGCCCTTGTACCTGGAGCCTTTAATGGACAGGTGTGGGATTGTGCCAGCCCGTTACTCCCTGGCAAGACAGGCATCCCTCCCCACAGATGTTGTTTAAGGGAGCCTCTGTGAAAGGCTGACCAATTGTCATTGATCCAGTAAACCAGGTCCTGAATCTCATCCCACAGACCTGCCCCACTCTACCTCCTCCAGGGACTGCCCAGGGGACTTTGTTGACTCAAAGCTTTCCTGGGTCCTGAGGGTGGTGGATGAAATGGGAGAGACCATGGGAAGGGTGATAAAGCTCCAAGCTGCCCTGGGAGCCCCTGGCTGGTTTTTCCAGTGGTCTGTCCTCGTGGCTATCACCAAGCATGGAGGACTGGCCACAGCGCTGCCTCCCCATGACCATCCTCTACTCCAGCCCAGCCTGCGGGCGACCCCTGAGAGGCGAGCGTCCCCCACAAGCAGAAGAGTGTGCCTCCCCTTCCCACTGGAGGACAGGACAGCTCCTGGGTGAGGAGGACACACACCCTAGGACATCTCATCCCATGTCTTAGAACCAGTTTCCGGAGGGAAAGTACACCTCGATCCCACCCCTGGGCTAGGTGGTGCCCCCCTCGTGCCGAACAGGGCTGGTATAAGGTGACAGTCTGCCCTTTCCCGCCTGGCCTACCTGTGTCTTGCTTCCAGCAGGCTTTTCCTCTGTCTCTGTTTCCCCAGGAGGGAGCAGTGCTGTGCCCTGTAGCTGGGCAGGTACTGACCTCTCCTCTCCTGCTCCTAAGCCCAGAGGCCAGGGCTCAGTAAAGCACATGATCTCCGTGCCTGTGCTGTCTTCATTACTGCCCTACATCACTAGCCATTTGTCATTTCTCCTCTAATAACCTTGGGATTGCCACAAACTGCAACCAAGGGCACCATTCCTCCCATCCGCCTCCGCCGCGGTATTTCTTCTCCAGTAGCTGTTGTGGTGCGCCGTAGGTGCTGCTGTGTCCAGCCGTGTCTGGGCATGGCTGTCCTTGCTGTCCTGCTGCTGCTTTTCCAGGTGTGGTGTTTGTGGTTGTAATAGAAACTATCAGAGCAGAGTGTTGAGGGGCTAGTAGGGAGAGCAGGTGTCTCAGTGTCCGGGGGCAGCAGGTACAGGCCCTGGGGAGGCCCCTTCCTTGTCGGTAGTCCCGAGTCCCTGGGCGTCCCGTGGACCTGTCTTCCTGTGTGTGTGTGTCGGGGGAGGTGTCCTGCACTTTTGATCATCCTTTCAGGAGGGATGTAGGACCCACTCTGCTTTGGAGTGTCCTAATTGATGTAACAAGAGAAACCCACTATTTCTAACCCAGGTCATAGTTACAGGGACTAGGACTTTGGGGGCCCAATTCAGTGGCACTGGGCCTCCATGAGGCTGTTCAGTGTTGGTCAGATGGTCAGATGTGACAGGAAGCATCTACTCTGTACACACTTTCATACTGACCTGAAAGGTGGCCTCACCTCCCGGCACTCAGCTTTATGTGATATTGTCACGGGGTCATGTCCACTCGCCTCAGTTCACCAGGACTGCCGCTCAGTGTTGGACTCCCAACTCTGGCTGCACCCAGCCCCCTGGCCAGGTGTGCTAAGCCCCTCCACTGCTGACCAAAGGGCTTTTGGTTCATTCCTTTTGTGTTTGGGGACTTTTCCAATGATTGTTTTCTGGCAAGGAAATTGGAGTTGGCCCAGTGCACTTGATGACATGTGTAACGAGGGAATCCCACACCTGACCACGTGGTGGAAGATGGGGCAGCCATTGCTGCTCTGTTAGCTAAGCGGTACCTCCCTTGGACATCAGTCTGGCAGAGCCTTGGTTTTCATGGCTCTGGTGGTACAGCAGCCACATGCACAGCTGTAAACCAAAGCAGCTCTTCTGGAGAAAGACCTCGTCCTCCTCTTCAGTGAACATTGTTAAGTGTCATGGAGTTGGTTCCGACCAATTAGGACCCTGTACACTGTTTGCAAGGAGCAGCTGGTGGATTTGAATGCCAACCTTGTGGTCATCAATCCAGTGCTGAGCCTATAGCGCCACATAACCTAGAAATTCTGTGGTACAATTCTACTGTGTCCCAGCACCCAATGTTAACACAACTGCTGTCCTAACAACACACACAGCCACAAAAGAAGGACCTCGGCTCAATGAGACTCAGAGGCCCAGGCTGGTGGTTCGGGCTCTCTAGTTAGAGAAGGGCGCTATCACGTGGCCGGTAAGCTGGAACCCCAGCAGGCCTGCACTTCAGCACCTCCTGGCACGTCCATACATGGTGTCCAGCAGGCCCCCCATGTCCTAAGGCCTCGTCTGGCCCCACTTACCTCCTGGTCACTCAGTCACTTTATCTTAGATGCTGTGGCCCCTGTGCACTGGAGGAAGGACAAAGGTGAGAGTTGGCACCCGCCCCATCCTTTTTGTATGTTACACCTCTGAAGGAGCCGGTTCTGGGCCTGTGTCCACTGACTTGCCCTCTCATGTTCAGGGACGGCCTTGGCCTTGGCCTTGGCCTCCCATTCCCTCTGACAGATGCGTCCTGTGCTCCGCATTAGGAACTGGCCCTCGTGGCGGTGGGTGGTTGGCTCTTTGGGGGGATGTCGTGTGAGCCCCAACTTGCCTCTCCTCATCCATTGTCCTCACTCACAGATGAGGCAGTCTGTCACCCATGAGATTTCTTAGAACCAACAAACTTGTGGACTGGCAGGGGAGGCACCGAGTACCCCCAGAGAGTGTGAACACAGCTGGTGTGATCGGGGAGAGTGTGAGCGTGAATGAAGGACGGAGCCCCGGGTGGCAGTGCAGTTAGACCTGGGGCCTCTCCTGTACCCGTCGGGGGCTGGGAGCCCCTTTCTGGGACCTACTGGGTACCAGTAGCCCTATTGTGTACTGTTGGAGCCAGGAGCCCCAGCCTAAACCCTTCAGGGGCTAGGATGGAGGTCTTTCCTGTAGCTGTCCAGGGGCCTTGTCACTGGCCAACCAGAGCCCCCAGGTACATCTCCATCTGTGACAGGGGGCCCCCCACCCAGGGAAACTGCAGTTTGATGCTGGACTTAACCTGACACCTTTCTTATTGAAGATCCCGGAAGAGCATGACCTGGAGAGTCAGACCCGCAAGGAGCGTGAGTGGAGATTCCTGCGTAACACTCGCGTGCGGAGGCAGGCGCAGCAGGTCATCCAGAGGGGTAAGTGCCCCGCCATCCACCCGACCCATCCACCGTCCACACGGATGCCATCTGCATGGCCCATCCACTCAGAATGTGCACGCGGTCTGTCCACTCTCCTGTGACAAACAGGAAACAGGCGAGTAGGGAGGGAGACGCCTCTCCAGGTCTGCAGGTTAAAAGCTGGGACGAGAGCGGCCCCACAGGCAGCGCTCAGCTGCCACTGTCCCTCTACCAGCTGTGCCGCCTTCGCCCCGGTCACAGAGCAGAGTCGCTCTCCCTTTATCCTCTGTCTAAGAACGTGGACTCCCAATAAAGCCTGCTCTTGGGAACTGACCCAACAGAGAAGTGGAGCCAATGTGAATCTCTGAGCCCGAGCCCCCAGCACAAACCCATCGCCAGGCGAGAGCATGGCCCCCAACCTTGCCTCACCATGTGTTCCTGCCTTTGGGGAGCGGGGCAGTGCCACATTGAGGCCCCCCCCACCGATAGTGCTCACTGCTGCGGATGGAGTTCTTCACTCTCCCTGAGACACCCCAGGCCACAGTCCACAGCTGGTGCCCGTCTTCAGTGTTCACACTCTCCACACCTCGAGAAGAAGCAGCGGCAGGAAGGGCATTCTCCCACTCTGGAATGGCACCTCTCGGGAAGTAGACAGGCGCCCACGTGAGGAAGGCACCCCAAGCAGTTTTCTCAGGACAGGCTGGGCAGAACCAAGTTCCCTGGTGCTGACCGGAGCTGAGCAGGTGGTGAGGTACCAGCAGCACATTCCTGAGACAGAACCGCATACCTTGGGTCACCAGGTTCCACTTTTCCCCCAATGTTCAAGCAAAAGGAGTGGTCTGTCTGTGCTTCCACAACTCATTCGGGGCACTGTGGGGCAGCGGTCAGCGGTCAGCACGGGTGTGAGACCAGAGGCCCAAGGGTACACGTTGCTGTGAGAAAGATGTCAGAGTTGGGAGGAGGATGGAGGGCCCTGGGCTTGACACCAGACACAGGGACGAGGGGCACCGGTGTCAAATAACTGTTCCCTGCTACTGCAGCTTCCCCTGTAGTCAGGGGCGGTTTTTAGAAATGTTATGAGCTGCCTGCAGAATCTGGGTCCCCATAATCTCTAGGGGCGGAAGACCAGGTCAACTCTTTGTGGGCCCCTATTCCCCACCCAAAGCTGAGGGCTGCACCCAGAACACACCATTGCTGCCACGTGAAGACCCCCTGGAGTCCGGCTAACTTAGCCCAACTCCTCAGTCAGTAGTGGCGTTTGTTTCGTTTCTGTGGTTTCCCTGTTTGCTACTCTTGACCAAAAGTGGGCTGGAGGACTGAAACTTGACCACACTGCAGGTATACGAAGGACCGTATGCCTTTACGGTCACCTCAACAACCAACATGTGACTTGAGTCCATGACTTCTAAGGTGTAACTGGTCTCTCCCCAATCTGGAGCAAAGAAGAGAGATGAGAATCGAAGACTAGTCCAAGTGACAAGTGGACCGAGGGACTGCAGCCTCCACGACGCTGAGGTCAGGAGAACTAGATGGGCCCCAGCTGCCAACGCTCAGAGAGGGGTCACAGCAGGATGTAGAGTGGGAGAAACACGGAGCACAACTGAAGAGAAGACGAGAGGCCAGCTGTACTGGTCTCATAGCGATTGGTAGAACCCCCAAGACTGTGGCCCATAGTTACTCTTCAGTCCTGTAAAGGATCTCACCTCTTTGCTCAGTTCAGCCAAATGACCGACAGGCTATACGGGGAACCCTAACACTAGTGAGGCCCACTCACTTAGAAGAATCAACCATGTGAGGTCAAAAGGTCATCATTTACCCAAGGACAAAGCCCAGAAGGGAAGATGGAGGTGAAAAGGATGGCGTCACACTGCGGGGGTCACAGTCAGTGACGTGAAACACAGGGTACGTACAGACTGTAGAATGGAAAACTGACCATCTGCTCGGTAAACCCCGTTCACAGTCACAAGTGATGTTAAGAAGAGAGAGCCGAGTGGTCTTTGTTGTGGCGGAGCCCAGCTCAAAGCTCGAGGTTCATGCAGCCGTGTCCCTGAGCTGTTTCCATCTGTGACCTCAGCCCAGAGCAAATGGACTTCCTGCCAGAATGCTGAGGCTACCACCCCCTCTCACAGAAAATCCTGGAACAAGAGCCCACCACCCCCGCCTTACAGAAGGTGCTAGAACACGAGGGCAGCACCCTGCCGCATGGAAGGTGCTTCAGGCTTGCAGAGGTGCACAGTGGGGACCCAGAGGAAAGCTGGTGTCTGGATTGCCCTGGCCCAAGCCCAGGAGCCGTGCAGGTCACCCAGCGTCCACCAAGAGAGCATGTCATGGTGACAGAAAATTGGGCGCTTCACTCTTGATTCCCAGCCACTCAGAATCAATCTTGTCTGATGAAGCAAACGTAATAAATCTAAACCTCTGCATTGTAGCAGCCATAGCGAGGAAGGACTCAGGTGCTCGCTCTAGCCTTTAGGGAACTGCTGAGCACATCCATGTCCACCCCTCTGTTTCACTTGTGACTTGACACCTTTCAGCCCTAGCCCAGCCTCCTGATCCTCTTTCTAAACAGAAGGGGCCCACCAGCACTCAGGCTGACTGCGGGTGGGTGGTAAGGTCTACACCACAGTGCAGCCCAGGGTTAACACATGTTCCTATCATTTTAACCACAGGTTTGTACTAATCTATATATTGTTAATGTGCCAGTTATGATGAATGAGTTCCAATGTATAGGTACAATATGTAGGTTACACTGTGTAGGTCACAATGAATGAGATACAATATTTATGTAACATATAGTCTTATGCACTGAGCTTTGTCCCCTTAAAATATATAATTCCTAACCTCTATGCTCGTGGTTATAATTCCATTTGGGAATGGGCCGTTTTTGTTATACTAATGAGGCATGGTTAGTGTAGGGTAGCTCTTAAGCCAATCTTTAGAGTATAAAAGAGATTAAACAAGCAAGCCAACAAGTAAACAGAGATGGGAGGAGACACATGTCAGGTCACATGAAGATCATCCAGAGGCAGACACTCATTGGAGACAGGGACCTCCAGCACCAACAGAATGAGCGAGCCTTCCCACAGGGCCAGCACCCTAAGTGCAGACTGCCAGCCTCCTAACATGTCAGAAAACAAATTTCTGTTTGTTACAGACCACCCACTTGTTTATTTCCATTATAGTAACACTTGCTGAGACATAAAGATGACAATGTGTAGACTGTAATGTGTAGATTACAATGTGTAGGCTACAATATGTAGGTTACAATATTTAGGCTATAACGGGTAGGTTACATTTTACAAATTATAACGTGTAAATTACAATATGTAGGTTTCAATGTGTTTCAGTTATAAATTATAATGTGTTACAGTGTTTAGGCCATGACATATAAATTACAATATGTAGATTACATGTGTAAATTGTCATGTATAGATTATAGTGCATAGGCTACAATATATAGGTGATAAATTATAGACTGTAGCATGTAGGTTATAATGTGTAGATTCTGGTATATAAATTATAATATGTAGATTACAATGTATAAACTCATGTAAACATTATAATGTGTAGATTATGATGTATAAATTGTTAATTATGTAGATTAAAATGTGTAGGTTACAATGTATAAATTATAATATGTAGATTACAATGTGTCAGCTATAATATATATGTTAAAATGTATCATTTGTAATATAGAGATCACAATGTGTTGGCTATAGTGTGTAGATTACAGTGTATAAATTGTAATATGGAGATTATAATATGTAGACTAATGTTTAGGTTATAATGTATAAATTATAATGTGTAGATTACAGTGTGTAGGTTACAGTGTATGATTTATAATATGGAGATCACAATGTATAGGCTACAATTTATAGGTTACAATGTGTAAATTATAATATGTAGATTACAATGCATAGATTACAATGTATAAATTACAGTGTGTAGATTACAATATGTAGGCTATAATGTATAGGTTACAGTGTATAAGTTATGTGTAGGCTGCAATGTATAATTTACAATGTATAAATTATGTAGGCTACAGTGTATAGGTTACAATGTATAAGTTGCAATGTGTCAATTACAATATGTAGGTCATTTTGTATAGATTATAATGTCTAATTGTAATATGTAGATCATAATGTGTAGGCTATAATATATAGGTTATAATGTATAAATTGTAACATGTAGATTACAGTTTATAGGCTACAATGTATGTGTTACAATGTATAAGTTGTAATGTGTGGGCTACACTGTGTAAGTATACTGGACCAGTTGATTGAAAACATCCTATGAGTCCAACTTCATGCTGGGAGCTGGGAGCAGGGATCCAAGCAAAGGCACAGAACCATGGTTGGGGAACTGCAGGCTCCCGAACGCTGCAGATCCCGCTGACTCCCCTCTACTCCCACAGCGCCACCCAGCCTTCAGATGCAAACGTGTGTTGAATGTTTTCTTTAAATCATAGCGGGCTGCTAGGTACATTCTTTCTTGTATCTCGCTTGGCAGGTATCACCCGACTGGATGACCAGATATTCCTCAACAGGAACCCCGGAGTCCCTTCAGTGGTCAAGTTCCACCCGTTCACACCATGTGTCGCCGTGGCCGACAAAGACAGCATCTGGTACACCTGTGCTTAACGGGGCTTCGTCTTGTTTGCAGCTAGCTTCCCAGGGTCCAGTCTTTCATGTGTTTGTCTGGTGTCTGGTCCTTCACCTTCTGTGTTGTCTCATACAGAAGGGTCTCAGGAATGTGTGGGGAAGTTCCCCTGCCCCTACTTTCTGTGTGTTGCTGGGCTCAGCGCTCCTGACGGTGTCAGAGTCTGGGCAGGGGGCTCGGGGCAGTTGCCTTGCATAGTGCAGCCTGCTCTGAAGTCTCTTACAGACGGAGCGTGCACACAGGGACCCACATCGAGTCTCTCTGTAGATGTGGTGTGTGATGGAAGAGTGTTTATTATGAGGCAGTGAGGCCCCAAGGGGAAAGCCAAGCTTTGTCCATAGCAGGCATCTCCCTGTGAGACTGAGAAGGTGCCCATGGGGTGGAGGGAGTTCTTCTCAAGCCGAGGCCAGTTCTCATCTACCACCTCGTGTCCCTGAAGCTTTTGGGACTGGGAGAAAGGGGAGAAGCTGGACTACTTCCACAACGGAAATCCTCGGTACACCCGGCTCACTGCCATGGAGTATCTGAATGGCCAAGACTGCTCGCTCCTGCTGACAGCCACAGGTGAGTGGGTTTACAGGGCCCAGGGGCCCCTAGCCCCCCAGATGCCAAGAGAAAACTCACTGACTGCCCCGTCACAGCCCACTCACCCATGGGCCTTGGCCTCCTACCACTCGGGGGTTCACGGTCACCCTCCCCCCTCCCAGATGATGGTGCCATCAGAGTCTGGAAGAACTTTGCTGATTTGGAGAAGAACCCAGAGATGGTGACTGCCTGGCAGGGGCTCTCAGACATGCTGCCTACCACACGAGGTAGGTCAGCCTCCTGGAAATCCCTCTAATGCCAGGCAACCACACTATGGGGGTGAGTGGGGGGCGCTCTGACTTGGCTGGCAGCTAGCTGTGTCTTGCTGAGAGCAGCATTGTGGTTGGTCCACACAGGGACCTGACCCCAGAGGGCCCTGCGGGCTCCTCAGGCCTTTTAGTATAAGCTTCTGTGAAGCAGGGGTGATCTGTCTGCCTGTGTTCTGTGGGGGCCACTCCCCAACCCCACCCACTGGGTACAACACTCCTCGCTCATTCTCCTGCTCGGGGTCATTGTCTCACTGCCCTGCAGACTGCCAGTCTGCTGACGTGCAGCAACCTCCCCTCAGACCCCAGGCCCCCAGGAGATGCCCTGCCTGCAGGAGCCAACTTTGGGGCAGCATCTCCCCACGTGGTCTACAAGCCTCCAGGGATCTCCTCCGATGGAAGTTAAATGTCCACCCCCACCACTGTCACTCTGGGGTGAGAGGCCCAGCAGTCCACTCAGTGTTGGCACTGCCATCCTGGCACTTGCAGGCCACCATCTATGGGGACACTGTCCACTGTCCCTCCCTGCAGATCCCACCATCCACTGAGGGCTTGTCCTTCCAGCTTGCTGAGTGGCCCCAGGAGGCATGAGTTGGGAAGGAGCTCAGGTGACACCTCCCACCCTCACTGCTGACTCCCAACACACAGGCTGCATTGTCTCTGGGGCATTCTGTATGCAAACAGAGGAGAAAGTCCAGCTCGTTCTGGAAGGCTCCTTGCTCCACATGACCTTGCCCACTGAGGAGCTTGTTGTGTTGTTGTTAAATGCCATCAAGTCAGTTCCGACTCATAGTGACACTGTACAGGCAGGGTTAGAGGAAGACCCCCAGTGAGATGGACGAGCCAAGTGGCATCATCAATGGGTTCAAGCATGGCAGTGATAGTGAGGTTGACCCGGGATCGGGCAGTGTTTCGTTCTGCTGTGCGTAAGGTTGCTATGAGTCGATACCGACTCGATGGCAGCTAACAACAACAACAACATAGGGTTTCCGAGGCTGTGCATCTTACTCTTTGTGGGAGCCTTCAGCTACAAATCCAGACAGAAGTCTGAGGCCCCTATGAAAACTGGCGAGGGGAACAGGGGTGGGGAGGGGCCGTGGTCTCAGCAGCCCTCTAAGATCAGGGACTGGAGTGAGCAAGAGGAGATGGATGCTGCTAGAAACGATGGTGCCCTGTGTGTCCACACCCCCTGAGCCCAGCATTCCCTGAAAGAACACTGGACTGCGAGCACACAGACTCCTCGGCTCAGGCTCCGAGAAGGCGTCTTTAAGAAGGCTCTGAGCCTGAGGTCTCGTGGGACCCCGGGTGCTGCACCTCCACAGGTGTATGAGCCCTCAGCTCCGCCCGCCCCCACCCCCCGCCCTCCTCACATCCTCCCTGTCGCTGTCTGACTCTGGGGAGTCTGTGGCCACTGGGATCCTCGTCCTCATCTGTGCCTGGTCACTTCCCCAGCAGTCCAGGCATAGAAAAGTCAGATTCTGCCCTGGACCGAGGCCGTGACAGCTGCTCAGCAGGGCCACGTCCATTAGGGGGTCCGCCCTGTGTACAGGCCCCTGGGAGTCCACCTGTTTGCCCGCCTAAACGAGCTTTCTCAGAATGTGAGGAAAAGCCTGTCTCCACGGAGAAATCGTGGATAACATCCATGGCTCTCAGGCCCCCAGCTGTCTCTGCCCTGGGGCACGCAGCGTTAAAATGGAGCCCCCAAATGTACACTCTGTAAGACCAGATGAGGCCAAGTCTGCTCCTACAGGCCTCACTAAACCAACACCGAGTCCCACTGAGCCCGTTGTGACCCAGCGACACTAGAAGGTAGAGTGGAACTGCTCCTAGGCCTTCCAACACAAACTGCCTCTTCTTTCTCCAGAGTGGCTGGGAGATTCAAACCACCAACCGCATGTTAGCAGCCCAACACTTAACCCTCAGCACCACGAGGGCTCCTGGATCCACACTAACCCTCCTGTAAATAGACTCCTGACCCTAACTAAACCTGCAGACCCCCAGCTGTGTACACCCTCAGCCTCTCGGAGCGCCGCACGCTGGTGTCAGTCAAGAGGGCACAGCCTCCGTGGGCAGCTTTCTCTGCCATCAGAATGACCTGGGTGTGTCCAGTGAGGTCAGAAACAAGGAGCCTAGTACATCTTGTCAGCTCTCACCAGCGTGTTTTACAACAAATTGTCACATCACGAAGTTCAAATGAGGGGAGCCAGGAAAAGGGACCCCAAAGTTCCACTTGATCATCATATCCATAAAAACCAAGTGTGGAGCCTAGTAGCACCGTAATGCAAGGAGAGAGAGCTGGGGTTCTTACCAGAGGCCTCCTCTCCGGAGGACCGTGTGCGGTGATTCCAGAGAGGCCAAAGGAAAGCCACAGTCCGTCTCCTCAGAGTGGTCCACTGAGCCCTGTCAGGCTCCACCCCCCACAAGGCTCTGCCCTTGGCCAGGATGTGGCCCGTGAGTGAGGAACAGGTCCCTCAGGGCCCTTTGAACTGGTCACCTGGTCAGGCAAGGCCCAGCCAAGGCATCGGGCAGCAACTACTTACTTTAGAATTTGGGGCTCTGGGGCCTAGGCACGGCACAGGGTCCCTATGGTTAAGCCATTGGAGGGCCAGCAGTCAACTGGTCCAGGGGTCCCCTCCACTGTGTAGCACCTGCTGAACCTCACGTTCCCCACCCAGCTTCATACAGCTGTGTGGAGTCTCGCCACCCAGCAGCCAGCTTCCCCATTGTTTGGGGAGCCGGGTTTCTGTTTGTGGGGAGGGAGGTTTGGCAGCCAATCATGACCGATATTTGCGCATGGTTAGTTGGTGGATCACTGAGTTATACACCTGATAAACGTTCACTTGACAAGTGTATGGTATGTTTTTTACAAAGAAAAGGTGAACAAACGCCTGAAGTCCTTATGCGCCCACGAGTCCTGAGTGTGGCCTCAGGTGTAGCCAGGGTCTAAAGGCAGCTCAGGATTCTGTTCTTGTCATTGCAAATGGATCCAACCCAGACAGCCCCAGGTGATACGGCGTCTGTCTGTCCACAGGAGCCGGGATGGTGGTGGACTGGGAGCAGGAGACTGGACTCCTCATGAGCTCTGGGGATGTACGCATCATCCGGATCTGGGACACGGACCGGGAGGTGAAGGTGCAGGTGAGATGCCGGCCCAGGTGGGGCACATAGGTGGGAGGTGAAGGTCAGGTAGCGGCTCCGGTACAGGTAAGGCCATTAGTATGTGTGTTGTGCATATACGCATATACTGTATATATATATACGTATGTATGTGTAGAGTGTATGTGTATGCGGGGGTATACAAGGAGGCATCCAGAAGTGTATGGGAAGATTCCATTATCTTTTCATTCTATTTTTCCATGAACGGTTTGAAGCCCCCTCATATGTGTGGAGTCTGTGTGTGTATGCGTATAGATGTGCGTGTAGTCTATATGTATGTGTATATGGATAGATGTGGCATTATAGGATCACTGGACAGTGAACCACAAGGTCAGCAGTTCAAACCCACCTGCTGCTCCTTGGAAAACCCTATACAGGGTCACTGTGCAATGCCTAGAACCAACTCAACAGTCCCTAACCACAACAATGTATAGGTATATGTGTGGTGTGTATGTGGGTTTGTATAGGTGTGTGTGTGGAGTGTGTGGAATGTGTACGGATCTGTAGTTTGTGTGTGGAATGTGTATGTATATGTGCAAAGTGTATATATGTGTACAGTATGTGCATATATGCATGGTGTGTTTATGTATAGGTGTATATGTGTACAGGTATGTGGGGGGTTACATGTGTACGTGTATGTATAGGTGCATATGTGAGGCATGTATGTGTGTATGGAGAGGTGTGTGTGTTTGTGGGTATTGTATGTATGTAGTTGTGTGTGCATGGATGTATATGTTTGGAGTGAAGTGTCTGTGGGACAAGTGTATGTGTGGTGTGTACATATGTTTAGTGTGTGGATTTTGTGTGCTATGGTTGAGTGTGAGTATATATCTGTTGTGTATGGACTGTACCTGTGTGTGGTGTGTGTATATGTGTTTGTCTCTAATATGTGATATATGCACGTATGCTCGTGGGGTGTGTATGTATGTATGTGTGTAAATCTGGTGTGAGTTCATGTGTGTGTATCTATTTGTGTGTGGAGTGTATTGTATGGGTGTGTGTATATGTGGTGTTTGAGGGTGTTCATGTGTGTACATCTGTTTATGTGTGTGGAGTGTATGTATGAGTGTGTGGATATACGTGTGGAGTGTATGTGTGTGTAGAGTGTTTATATCTGGTATGTGTGGTGTGTGCATGTGGCATATCTATGTGTGTGGAGTGTTCTGAGTGTGTGTACACGTGTGTGGTGTGTGCATGTGGGACGTCTGTATGTGTGTGGAGTGTTATGATACGTGTGTGATGTAGGCATGTCTATATTTGGAGTGTTCTGAGTGTGTGTACACGTGTGTGGTGTGTGCATGTGGGCATATCTGTATGTGGAGTGTTATGAGTGTATGTATATGTGTGTGGTATGTGCATGTATATGTCACTGAGGTCACCCATCTTGTTTCACACTTGCTCTCAGGGAAGCTCTTTTTCCGTCTGGGAGGGTCCCACGAGGGGTCCCTGTTACATGATTAAGATGCAGCTCCAGATGCAGACAGAGCCCTCACCTCAGTCAGTGAGCACCCCTCCCAGAATCACCCCAGCCCCACATGGCTTCAGGGGATGCTGAGGCTCACCGGGGGTCTGGGGTCCTCATTGCCCTGCACTGAATGAGTGCAGAGGAGGGTCCTTCACAGAGGCTCCAATTCCTCTTGGTCATCCTCACACTGCCTACACAGTGTCTCCGGAGGGAAGCATCTTGGTCCTTCAAGGCCCATCCAAGTCACAGCCCTTTGCTGATGTTTAGGGCCGCCAGGGGAACCAGGGATGGCTTATGAGCCGCAGAACGCCTTCTGGACCCATCTCTCCTCCAATTAGCAGTTTTAGAAAGACTAACAAGGCTGAGGGGGCTTGACCTGGCCTTGGAAGCCAGACTTCACTGGGCTGTTTGCTGCTGGGGAGCAGGGACAGGTTCCGAGCTCCACTACTTGTGGGGGCCTGTTGCAGCCAGCCCACCATTCACCCAGGAGCTTTGAGGGAGGATCAGCAAACCCACACAGGCCCTAAGGCCCCAGCCTTCCCTCGGCTCCTAGGACATCCCCACGGGCGCAGACAGCTGCGTGACCAGCCTGTCCTGTGACTCCCGCCGTTCCCTCATCGTGGCAGGCCTTGGTGACGGCTCCATCCGCGTCTACGACAGGAGGATGGCACTCAGTGAATGGTAACCCCTATCTCCACCTTCCAGGGCCATGATGTGCTGCCTTCTGACTTCCGGGGCAACAGGGAGCTTGCGGGGAGTGGGGAGGAATTCAGTGAAGAGGGGTCCCACCCACCAGCCCCAGTGAATGCAGGGCCCCTTAAGCTGTGTATGGACATGGGGGTGGGGTCTTGACCAGGTGTCCATTCCTTACCTAGAACCTAGCACGTTGGTAGGTGGGACACGTGACCTTTAGGGCAGAGAAGGGTAGGAGGGAGGACTCGGGCGGTGAAGCAAGTAGGTCTCCCACTGGTCAGCAACAACCAAGCAGGATGCACAGTCAGGAGCAGCCTGGTTGGGGCCAGGGTTGGGACACTTCCATGAGAACATGACTTCTGAAAGGACAAGCTCAATGGCCCAGGTCTGGTCAGGAACCCCAGTGCGTGTGGCACTCTTTGGTGAGGGGAAGCCCAGGATCCATAGACCCTCGTGGGCTGGGCTGGGCTTGAGAGCCGCAGCCTTGGGGTCCAGAAGGAGGGGACACGCCATGGGCTGAGTGTGGAGATAAGGGACGAGAACAGTGTCCCTGCACTGTGCGTCCACCCGACCTAGCTGTTCAGGAGCTGCCCTGCTGCAGACCAGAGGCCTGGGCTCCTTTACATCTTAGCATGGTGGCTTCCAAAAGCAGCTAGGTTCCAGGTGACAGCATGGGAGACAGAGGTGGCAGTGCTCCTGACCGCCTCCCACCCCCCACCCCCGCAGCCGCGTCATGACGTACCGAGAGCACACGGCCTGGGTGGTGAAGGCGTACCTGCAGAAGCGCCCGGAGGGTCACATCATGAGTGTCAGGTACTAGCTGCCCGAACATTCGGTTTTCTCATTTAGGGGCAGGGACAGAGGGTGGGGCACGTTGCCTGGCAACCTTCCAGACTTCCAGGGGCCTGGGAGGAGGAAGATGCATCAAGCAGACTGGTCACAGGGGACACGGGACCCCCAGCTGTCCCCACAAACTCCCTTGGCTGTTTGGTGACTGTCCTAAGAGCAGGGGTATTGATTGTCCCGTTAAAGGGACTGTCACAAAGGAACTTTGCTTCAAAGAGACATCGCTCCCTGGTTTTCATCTGAAAATAGTACAAACAACTCGCCCCTGGGGAGTCTGTATTCCTGATGGGGTATGGCCTGTGTAGCTCAGGACACTAGGGCGCTGGGCTGCACGCCATGGACGGGGCCGAGCCCACAGTCACTGTGTCCCTTCGACAGTGTCAACGGGGACGTGCGCTTCTTCGACCCTCGCATGCCAGAGTCAGTGAACGTTCTGCAGATTGTGAAAGGGCTCACGGCCCTGGACATCCACCCGCAGGCCAACCTCATTGCCTGGTAGGCGCCGCCCTGCTCCCCGCCACACCCTACCTTAGTTCCCCCTGGTCTCAGGCCCCTCTGAGGAGGTGCCCTGTGAGGCTGACCAGGGAGGAACAGCTGCCAGCCTTCCTATCAGGGACTGCAGGGCCTCTCCCATCCTTGGGGGCGGCGCCAGCCCCATCCAGACCCTAAAGCAACGTCTGTCCTCGTCTCCCTGCACAGCGGCTCAATGAACCAGTTCACAGCCATCTACAGTGGCAGCGGGGAGCTGGTGAACAACATCAAATACTACGACGGCTTCATGGGCCAGAGAGTCGGGGCCATCAGCTGCCTGGCCTTCCACCCACACTGGGTCTGTGCCCCGCCTGGGTTGCCATGGGGTGGGGAGAGCCGGGAGCTGGTTGTGAGACCCTCACCTTTCTCCCTCCCTTCTCAGAGGCCCTGGGACCAGGGGGTGTGGTTCTGTCACGGCTGCCCCTAGCTTTGCTGACTCACGTGGGCAGTGCTGGGGGCAGTGGACAGAGTCCAGGTGCACAATGAGACCAGTGATAGCCCCTCACACCTGCCCCCACCGTACACAGCTAGGGGCAAATGTAACCTCAGGGCCACTTGGGGCACTCCCTCACCCCCATTCTCTATCGGGGTGCCCTCTAACGCCCACACATTCTTACAGCCTCACCTGGCGGTTGGAAGCAATGATTACTACATCTCTGTATACTCGGTGGAGAAGCGCGTCAGGTAGCGGCCCCGGGCCGGCCAGCACTGCCCCACCGTGTACATAGAAGCCAGAGCCGGGGCAGGGCGCCCGCACATACTGCGCCCGGTCCTCACAGCTGCTGGCAGGAGGCGCACTCCGGCTCCGCTGGGACGCCCAGGAAGCCCAGGAAGGGAGGGTCGCCACTCGACAGACAGACAACTCGGTCCCTTGCCTGTCGTGGGTTTCTTCTGAGCCCTCTCGCAGAGCAGCAGGTGTGTCGTTCTCCATCGATGGAGTGCTGGCTGGAGGCGGGCGCCCCCACCTCCCCTGGCTGGCCAAGGCCCAGGGAGTGAGCGAGGAGAAGCTGCTGCCGTCCTGCGTGCTTGGGAGCCCCCAGCAGAAAGAAGTGGGAGACGAGACCAGAAGGAAGATGATCCGCTGCCCCCAGCCTTCTGTGCCCAGGGCCCCGAGTCCTTCCAGGCAGCCTAGCTCAGAGAGGTAGGCAGTGAGGGCCGGGGAAGCCCCCTCAGAGCCTCCTGGCAGGTGGGACCCACAGCCCTGGATGAACGAATAGGCAGGTCCTTGGCCACTCAGCCACTGAGCCACCTCACCCACAGCTGGCTTCTCCCTAAGACACTGTTCTTCTCACCAGACATGCTACATGTATGTGCAGGAACCACAGTCCTTCACCCGGGTCCACACACACATATCCATGCATGTCCAGGGCCCACAGTCCCCTCCTGGTCCATCATACGTGTGCACACACAGGCAGGTACCAGATCTCTTCCACATGTGCACAGGTATGTGCAAGCACATGCCATGGCCCCCACCCCGCATGCACATACGTGCTGCTACCAAGGCTCAGCTAGACCCCCTCCCCAGTAACTGTGGGTCAATGACAGGTTACCTGCCTGGGTGATGGTCCCCAGCCCTGTCCCCGCATTCCACAGTCTGCCACGCAAAAGAGCTCCCTAATGGTTGCTTTAGCGAGTCTTGGGGGACACCTGTAAGGGTGAATGTGTGTTGTGGGGGGTCCATGCATTGTACATGGGTGCCCAGCCATGTGCATATATGTGAGCACATGCGTGTGTCTGTCAGTAAGTGGGTGTGCACGTGAATGCGTGAATGTATTCATGCCAGGATGTGGGTGTGCGTGCAAGTGGATGCGTGTGGATGTGGTTGTGCTGGTGCATGTGTGAGTGTGTGTCTGTGGTGCGAGTGTGTGTACGCACGTGTGAGCCGAGGGGAGTTGTGTGCTGGCTGATACCCCAGGAGGGATTAGAGCCCTCGGCTGAGCGCCTGTAGACCACAGTGCTTTGAAAACAACCCCACAATGATGACACTTTGAACCACATTATTCTCCATTTCTCTTTGGGAATCACGATTGCTCAGAAGGCAGGTGTGGGGTGGCCTCACTGACTGCCGGTAAAGGGCCCATTGACAGTGGACTTGTGATGACAGGTGTGAAGTCTGTGCCCCGCTGTCTGCTGCTGGGGGGTGAGGGGCATGCTGCTGTGGCCTGGGTGTCTGGGTTGGGGCTGGGCAGCCTACCCTAGGAATCAGAGCCTCAAGGGACCCCAGGGTTCCCGGCAGGGCCCTAACTTGGCCTGCCTGCTGTCAGCGTGTGAAAATCCCCCACACCCTTGGGGTGGCCTAGACCCTTCTAGAAGCTTAGCCCCACCCACAGACACTGACCCTCCCCTCTAGTAGCTAACTCACAGACCCTAACCTCGTGCGCACCTGTTTGTTTTGAGACAAAACCATCCCTGCAAATGGCAGGCGGCACATGGGGGAGATCCCCCACCTTGGCCGCCTCTGCCCACTGCCCACTTGACCCCTGGTCCGCCCCAGAGCCCTGGGGGACCATGTGGGTGGGTGTTGGCAGGGCTGATGCAAAAACTCAATCATGAAATCCACCAGGCAAGAGAGCCCCACCCAAAGGCTCCTTGTCACTATTTATTGCCCACGATGCACATGGAGAGCCTTTGGGACAGATGGGACCGGGACGGCAGTGAGCGCAAATAATAAGCTATCAATAAACGCAGAAGCAGAGAGGACTGGCTGGGCTCTCTGTCTGTCCCAACAGGTGTGTCCACCTGACCACCAAGGTTTCTGGGGGGTGAGGGTGGCCTGCACTCCAACAGGACCGGGCATGCGGGAGGGTGGGAGGCCAGGGTGCACAATCCTCTTGAGCGCACAGCCAGGGTCTGGCTGGGGGCCCAGCAGGACACGGGGTTGGGAAGGTTAATGGGAACTCAGATCCCGCACACATTCAGTCTCTACCACGAGCAGCACAGGAGGCCCCGGTGTCCACAAGCCTGCCTCCTTCTGGATGCTCCAGGGGAGGGCCCTGTCCTGTCCTGTCCTAGCTGCCTCTCATCCACAGGCAGCACATGGGGGAGGTCCCCCACCTTAAGGTGCTCCCTTCACCACAAACCTGAAAGCTTGTGATTTGAAGCCACCCAGTGGCTCTGAGGGAAGATGACGTGGCGGTCTGGTCTGATCCATCCAGAAAACCCAGTGCAGCCCTTCTCTGACACACAACATCTCCATGAGTCGGAACTGATCCCAAGGCTGTGGGTTTGTGGATTTGTGGCAACTGTAGATCTACCCTATAGTCCAGAACGACCTAGCACCCTTTCTTCTCCTTGTCACGTCACCAAACCTCTTCAGGGTTCTGGATGGACACTGACCTTCCCTTGGACACCCACCAAGAAGAACCCACAAAGCTGGGTAGGGGGAAAGGGGCGCCCTTGAAGCAGGACCGAGGCTGTGGCGGTAGATAGATGAAGCAGCTCCAGGCTCCAGGCACAGAATCCCTAATCCTTAGACTGGCGGCTCCAAAGCCACAGGCCTGGGAGGGGAGGGGGAAGGTTGTCATGGAAACCGGAGGACTCATCCTGAGTACCAACCAGGTTTGTTTCAGATGAAGATGCCTGGGACAATGAGATTCTTCCAATAATGTCAGCTCTTCTGTCACCAGGACCCAGGACAAATCACCTGTGTGAGAACACAGGGTGCTCCTGCCCCGCCCCCCCCGCCCGTCCCTCATTGTTGTTGTTGTTGTTAAGTGCCATCGAGTCGGGTCCGACCCATAGCGACCCTGTACAGGGTTTCCGAGGGTGTAAATCTTTACGGGAGTAG